GAAAATGCTTTTAGATTTCACCATGATTCATCCTGGGGGCGACCCTTCTATACTTTCATTAATTAGGATGTTGGACATGTTTGTCTGATAATTTTGATGATTACAGTTTACGGTGAGTTTACAGCACAGGACATCTCACCTTTACAAGACCAGTATACTTATAAACTTCAGATGATAGTCTATTCATTTCAAACAGAGGTGACTTGACGGTCAGATCATCAACATCTGAATCACCTCTAAGAATAGCAGAACATTTCTTAAACTCTTTCATAGTCTGTTGCAGCTTCTAGAGAAAAGAGAAAAATTCTTATTATTGGAAGTGATCAGGGTGTTCTTCAAAAATCATTTTCCTTAATGCACATAATAATTATACTCCATCCAATAAAATGAGTACTGTTGTTAAAAGGATAACTTTCTATAGCTTGTTAAAAGTACTTGGCTTGCTGAAAAACAGAACTTTTGCACTGGTAACCAACTAATGACAGTAATTTTTACAGAGAGACTCTAAACAAGCAAGGGGGTGCAATTGGCCCAAAGAAACTCAAGCCAGGAAAAAAGTCACATACTACACTTCATTTTTTTATGGCTCTTTTGCCACCCTTACTTTTGTGTTTTCACCAGTAGACTCAGAGATATCAAAAATCACTTTCTGTCTTCTCTTTGGAGGCAGCTGAGTTAAAACCTACACCAACAAATAAATAAATAAATTAGCAGCAATTTGCTCTCTCATAATATTGTATGAATAAAAACAAGACAAATCTGGCAGTAAATGGAACTAGGGACACTGGGTGCTCCCTGGGATAGCAATGAGAGTGGGTGGTAGCGACACACCCTGGACAGGTAATTGGGTGGTTAGCGGACACACCATGCGAGCAAAGTGGGGCAGTTAATGGATTCGAACCCCAAAGCACTAACACAAAGTGGGGCGGTTAGCAGACACAAACCCCAAAGCAGAAACTTGGGCAGTTGGCAGATGTACCCAGAGATAATGAATGAGGGCAGAAAACCCTTAGGAGGTTAGTGGACACACCAAGTGAATGAATTGGGGTGATAGCACACTCATCCAGAGAAGAAAGTCCCTGACCTAGCTACTTTTAGGTAGCTTAAAGTAAGGTAAGGGACCTACCCAGCCTGACGCAGGTGATAGCTAAGTGGAAGGTGTGCACCCAGGCCAGCGGTCCAAGTTTATTAATAGGGAGGGTAGAGGAGGGAAAGGAAACACTGTACACTAGCAAAGGGAAAATATGTGATGTGCCTAGCGTGCTACTACATGTAATACAAAGACTGGTGTAGCATAATTAACATGTTTGTGAGTACTGTTTACAAGTTGAGACCAGATATGCAGCAGATGGTAAAACTGATAGCATTGGATAAGGATACAATAGTAATGGATAGGAATAATAATACTGACATGAGCCTTAATTTTTGATTAAGATACCAAGTCAACATAGCTAATAGTGTCCATTTTTTATGATATCAAGTTCCTTGGCATGTTTGTAATGCACTTGCACAATAATGAAAGAGCATCTCTGTGGCTAAGACATATAGATGGACAGTAATACAAAGCTCTTGTGATTAACCATACTTTACAAGTAAAGTTTACATTTATAAATGAAAATTTGCACTAAACTTCACAGACATGAAGGATCAGTGCAATTTGTAACTTTAAAAGAAAAATGAAACTAGAATCATTCTAGTTTAATTTTATCATAAACACATTCTTAAGCTTAGCTTTACTCTATTTTAAACCATGCTATTGTGAAAAAAGGTTTACAGAAATTCATTTCATTTGTCAGTTAATTTGGTAATTTATTAATACAGGTACAGTGTAGCACAGTCTTCATCAAAGTTGATGAAGTATATAGTAAACTCCAGAAGCTGAAATGACAGTTTTGACAACTTCATTCAAATTGAAAAAACTGTAAACAAAGTGGTCCACATTATAACTGTTGGCAATTTCTTTGCAGTTAATTTGCAAAGCACAAGTCATTTATTGAATCATTACTTTAAACAAATGCCTTTAGCAATACTAAACAGCCTTCCAGGTAGATGTACACTGACCTCTTTCTTGAGTCGCCGTATCATAACATGTGTCTTCAGAAGGTGGTAAAGTTCATCAAGGTTTGATGCACCACTGTAGAAGGTGAAGTTAAACACCAGTGTTACAGAGCTCTGTACATGTAGTTATTAAATTATTAAAATTCATTATTCCAAAATAACTGTGCAACAATTCTGCTTAAGCCCCAGCCAAATGATCACAACATTTCAACGTAACATATTGCAACATTGTTGGGTGCAGCATGTTGCATGCGTTTGGTCACGCGGTTGTGATGTGTTGCGACCTGTTGGGTGTTGTTGGCTCAAATTTGAAACTGGTCAAATTTTTCATCCAACATTTGTGGAAGTTGCATGATGTTATAGTCGTTTGATCAGGTTCATGCAATTGTTGCACCTGAGCATTCGCACTAGTTCGATTTTCAATACCCAACATGTTGCAAAACATCACAAAATGCCCGCCAAATGTGCGCAACATGTTGTGCCCAACAATGTTGCGATATGTTGTGCTGAAATGTTGTGATCGTTTGGCCAGGGCTTGCAAATGCTGATCATTTGGCCAGGGCTTTACATGTCAACTTATTGTTTAACTTATTATTGTGTAGTTCCAGAAAATACCTATACCTCTCCCACAGAAAGGACTTTTTCTAAGACCACCCACCTCTCTGGAAGTTCCAGTTATTGTAAGCTTCCTACATTTCTTCAATTTGTATGGTCCTATGGAATCAAACCCCCTAGGTAAGTAGTATCTATGGATATTTTCTGGAACCACACATTTACATTAATAATTACTGTATATCATTAGGCAGGTGGATGAATTAATCTCCTTCACTCAAGAAGTTATCATACTTGACTTCACATTACATCAAAATACCTTGTGTCAAAACGATGCTCTCCTCTGTAACAAACTTCGTGGGCATCACAGTAACGTTTAACAAACTTATTGAAGGACCCAAACTTGCCTGGACAAACAATGTCAAGCTGGAAATATAGCTAGAAAAAAACCATGGCAAGATATTGCATCTAAGTAGAATTTATTGCATAGTGGCTTGTAGGAAATGTAATCCCTCCCCTTTTATAGCTTTATGGGGAGGTGCAGTGGCCTCATGGTTAATGTGCTAGCTCACCTATGGATCAAGCGATCCGGGTTCGAGCCCCTGGCTAAGGACATTGTGTAATGTTCTCTTGGGCAAGACTCTTTACTCTCACAGTGCCTTTCTCCACTCAGGTGTATAAATAGGTAACAGCAAATTCAATGATGGGGGTAACCCTGTGATGGGCAAGCATCCCATCCACAGGGGGGTAGAAATACTCCCAGTTGGTTCATGCTTCAGTGACAGAAACCAGATATCAGCGCTGGCCTGATGGACCACTTGGCCCATATGTAGACTTTACCTTTTACCTTTGATAGCTTTATGGCAGGGCAAAATCAACAAACCTCCCTTGGTCTTGCGAGTGATGGTGTTCCACTCAGTAAAATGGCGTGCTTGGCCTTCTTGCAAAGTTGATGGAGTCGCTGTGTGCGGGCTGCACGTCTTGTCTTTAAGTAATGTGATTCATCTATAATAACGACATTGAACTTGTGGGTTTCCAGAGCTTGCAGCAAGAGTTTAGACGTCCCTGCACTCAGCAAGCCGTATCCGACAATGTGAATCAGGGCTTTACCAAGGTTGCTGGAAAACAAAGATCAAGAGAGGCACTTTCAAGACCCAGTTTTGGCCAGGATGAATTGTGCACTGTGCAGTATTGAAAAACAAATTAGGAACCCCCTTATCATGTAAACCAAAACCATAACAGACGCGTGAAAAGCATAGTGGTCAATACTGGGATTTAAACCGTTATCCATGAGCATTCTTTCTTTTTTAATTGCCATAAACCATTTGTATTTTTTATTTCCTATTTTATGTAAGGCATTTAAAGAGCTGGAGATGCAAGAGCTGGGGCAGANGGGGGGGGGGGGGGGGGGGGGGGGAGGAGAGTTTCAGGGAGTTCAGTTGTACCCCCTAAATTAAAGAAAATGAGACATTATAACACACTGGCTTGGCCTCAGAATTCTGGAAATCCCATTTCCGAGAACCTCACTTTTGAAGATTTTCCCGGGGGAGATGCCCCTGGACTCCCCTACAAGAGACCACCTTTGACAGTCCTTATCTTGAGCCCCCTTACCTAAGATCCTTTATCCACCCCAGAAGAGTGAGAGTTTCTGCAGGAGTGGAGTTGGGGGGGGGNAGTAGTGGAGGAGGGGGAATAGTGGGGAGGAGGGAGTAGAAGGGGTCCCTTGAGAGGTATAACTATTGGCTAGGAAACCATAATTATCTTTTGCTACTGGACAGTATAACAGACCTGATGTCACTGCCAGATCTAATCAAGTTCAAGTTCTGGGGTTCAACCTCAGGTAGCCATTTCTCAATCTCGTCGATCCAAGAAAATTTCACAGAAGATGGCGCCACAATCAACAGTGGCCAGACATCTTTGTAATAATATGCTATACTTATTGCCTGAAGGGTTTTGCCAAGGCCCATCTGTAAATGAGAGAAAATAAACAAGGGTCTTTTACAGCTATGTACATGTATAAAATATTGGCTTGTAAGGTTGTCAAGCAGATACAACCAGCCTATCTTGATCAGATGTAACACCAACTTGGTCATGCGTAAGATGCAGAATGTGGACTGCACACTGCAGATTAAGGGTAAAATACAGACTGCAGTCTATAGACTTTTTAATTGAATCGTGTTACCATTTCTATCATTGAGAGCTAATCGTACATGTAAACAGGCTAGTCTGAGCATTATCAAATTATTTAAGCCAACCTGAGTAACATTCAGGCTAACCGGAGTGATATTCAATCTAACTGGAGTGATATTCAGGCTTACCAGAGTGCAGACTTTCACTGCAATTAGCCTGAATAAACCTGATTACAGTTAGCACTTGATAATGGAAATAACACAATGTATACTTAAAAAGTCTGTCGTCTACAGTCTGCATTTTACTCTCAGTCTGCATTTTTACCCTTGGTCTGCAGTCTGCAATCTGTAGTCCGAGGTCTACGTTTTACACTGACCGAGCACCAAATTCTCCGAGCTAAAATGAGAAAAAATATAGCAGGCAGTAAGGAGAATAAACATGCCAATCTTTGAATTAAGCCTAATTTAGCCAGCGATTTCACTGACTGTTTGTTAGACAGGCGAAAATTAACACCGACTTAAATTAATAATCTTAGTTGCAATGACTTCAAATCTTCAGCTTACCTCGTCTCCGATTAAACATCTGCAACAAAGAAAACCGTGATTAGTAATTTTGTATTTGCATTAAAATGCTCTAGCAATGCAAATCAGTTGGCCATTATGAATGAACCTTTAAAACTCGTCATGGCTGACTTACGACGCGCGAAAACATCAAGAATTTTGCAAAATTTATGACGTTCTGCAGAATTTAGCGCTTGAATTACCTTCCCTGCTTTTGTATTCCAAACTTGACACCCTCTTTTTGGAAATCGAGTAAAGCTTTCCTCAGCGGACGAGGCAAGAAGTTCAAACTTATCGAAGAGGCCGCCATCAGCTTCTCGCCATATTTCACATGGCGAGTTAGAACAGAATGCATCCTGGGAGAAGTCACGACATCCCGTTGCGTGATCTTACGCGCGTAACGTTAAGTTGGTTTCGAACCCTCTCTCAACACGGAAGTAGATTGCAGCAAGTTTTTGATAGAATACCGGGACTTAACGATCCAAGTGATTATTTGTGTGATAAATGAGGGTGAATTGTTCGAGGAGGAAATTACTTGTGGAGATAACGACTGGTTATTTTCTCTGAATCGCCGTATACAACAAACTGAAGGGATCTTGACAAACCAAGGTAAGTTTCGCTTTCTGATTTCATTGCATGTCAATAATCCATTATATTAACAAGACAGGTACCTTAGCTTTTGAGTCCTACAAGAAGGACAACCAAGTATAACGGTAAATTGGCTTCGATCATTTGAGCAAAAAGCGGACCGGCATAATTCAGAAAGGGACACAAACACGATACGAAAATGCTTATTCGATATTCTGAGTTCTGTGCGTTGTCGACAAACTTTCAGTGCGTTTCCGAACAGACTTTTTGAGTCCTAGAATCATATGTTTTTTTTCGAACACGTACAGAGCAACTCGGCACAGGACTTGCCTTTGCTTTAGGGCAGAACGGCTTCGGTGGTCTGAGTGCTTCCAGATCAGAGCAATATCACAATGTTTTCTCTTCTTTTTAATTTTAGATTCTTTCCTAGATTTGGAGGCTAATCCGACAAAAGATTGAATTGTTCCCTCCAAAATAGCAAATAAACAGAAATCGTATTTCTGTTTGTAGAACTATGTTAATTAGTCTTGGCCAGTTACACGAAACAAGGTCAAAGTATTTTGTGCAGTCACCAGCTTCCGTCCGCCAAACAATTAAGATGAAAGGGCGCTGGGGACGAGAATGGGTGCGTCTTCTGTCCCTGTCTTGAATTTTCATATCGACCTTACCAGAGACGACTGAATGCTTATAAGTCAGGTCCAACCAAAGGTTTCCAAACACCAATCTTGTGTTGGAACAGTTTCTCGGTTTGGTCTTCGGAAGCCTGGAAATCAGCTAAATTTTTTTAGTAGGGAACGTTGATCTCTCGAAAGGTATTTCTTAACCCCCGACCATTCATGTTTATAGTATTGTTAAAACTCCGCATGATAATTTATTACAATCAACAAAATACTACAGGTAACCGACATTTCTCGCAGCTTACAAACCTATCAATCAATCACTCTCTCACTCATCCCAATGGTCCCGGCTGGGACATAAGGCCATCACTACATTACTTCTCTACTTCTCGCGGTCCCTGGCGATCTTTTCAGCCTCCGCCCAGACCAAGCCAAGCTATTTCAGGTCTCCTGTCACAGTTCTCCGCCAGGTGGTCTTTGATCTTATCTGCGCTTCTTGCCTTGAGGCGTCAAACTTATCAATATGCTCTTTTAATGTTGTTCAATCCTCCATAGGAGAAAAATAGTTCATTCGCTCATAATTCTTAGCGCAAGGAAACCTTAACAACAAATAGAAACGCACTAAAAAGTTGGAAGATCTTCAAACCAAGCATGTTCAATGTCGCACAAGGACACATATTGCAAAAGTAGGGTTCTCCTTGACCCTAATGAGTTGGGTTAGGTTCGCAAAGTACTGCGTAAACTGTACAGCCGCCATCTTTATTCCTACGGAGGATTGGCACTGGTTCCTATCGAAACTCTAACCTGACTGTTTTTTTTTCCTTTTAGACATCGCTTAACTGGCAAGATAACATGGCTGCAAAGGCAGATGGCGAAGACTACTCCAACACTGGCTGCCCGAACCGGCTGGACTTGTTTTTGACGGAACTGGCTGAAACAAAAGCGAAGTTTCCAGACGACGAAAACGCTCGCACTATCCGTGAAGAACTACATCAGATCGTTCAAGACACTGTGCTGGACCTGTCTGGTAAGTACCGAGTGTTCCACAATTCTGTTATCCAGCAGGGCGGAAGCATGGTGGAAGGTACCAAGATTGGTCAACCTGATGAATTTGACTACGTTGTTGTTCTACCTGCGCTGCAAGAGCAACTTGTATCACCGAGGGGTGGTGAGGCTTTCTATGCAGAAGATTACGACATCAATATCCAGTCGACCAAGCTTCCTTTAAAAATAAAAGAACTATTGTTCTTGGATGACATTTTGTGTCCTGATTGGTGTGATAAAGAAGAAAACGAAATAAGGAGAAGAAACCAGCTTATTTTCAAGGATGGCAAAAGTAAGTGGAGAGATGAAATCGCTGCAATGGTGTCTGTGGCGATATCTAGATCACTAGAAGCAAACCTCGTGAAATTCCAAAACTGGAAATATGTGGCAAGACTCAAACAGCCTTCTGGAAGAACGTACCTTCAAGTTCTAAAATTCACCAATACCGATGGGTTAGAAATCTTTGTGTCGGTTGACATTTGCTTGGCCATCCAGATTCCTTACAAGTCGGCTGAGTCAGACCCTCTGCAACTTCTGTTTGAATTCTGGTCTATCAATTTTGTATCATGCTCAAGAAGATCTGAGTCGCCCTGGGAAATATCAACATTGAGCTCCCTTCCGCTTCAATCGGTCGAGAAACGTTGCTATCGAATCCTGAAGTATCTGGTTCAGACGTTTTTTGAATCCCACTTCGACATCTACACCATGGAATACAAGGGAGTGATAGAAACCTACACTCTGAAGACTGTGTTCTTGAAAGTTCTGATAAAAAACGAGAACACATGGCAGCCGCACGACCTTGGGGAGAAACTTCTGCAAATCCTTGGTCTGATTCAACAGGATTTGATCAAGGTGCAAACTGGAAAATCAAGCTCAGACCCAATGAGGCTCCATCCTTTAAAGGTTTCTATGGATTACTGTCTTCACCCGGTTTCAGCCGAGCCCGCCTTATTCCCGAGGTCAAAACTATCCCAGTCAGACTCGGGGAAAACGGCAAGTGAGCCAATATTTGAACGGCCTGAATCTATCGAAGACCAAGTATCGACCCTAATTGAACTTCTTCTCATGGTCAGGGATACTGAAGAGGGTAGACAACATGTTTTGTCACAAATTGAGGCAATCGGAAACTTAAAAATTCTCCTGAAGGATGGCACTTTCCAGATTCCTGTAATGGAGACGATGAAAGACCGGGAGAAAAATAACAAACGTGGCGTGTATAATAACTTTCTGCTGATTTGGCATGTTCTTGACAGAGACGAATTCAAAGCCTTCATGCGGTTGAGTAAGTTCGGAATCGTCGTTCAACCTGATGGCAAAGAAGATGACTGCATTGTGTTTCCCAAGACGTTCCCAGTGTCAAAGTTTCTTAGTTGTCGCTTGTTCGATAAAGGCGCAGATGAAGACGATGGAACAGAAATGATGGAGATGGATGTGTTTGATCATGGTGATGCCAAGCAAGTGGTTTGTTGGAATGTTAACGAATCCGTGAATTTAAGTGCAATTATAAAGGGGAAGCTGTGTTCGTTTTGTGCTTTAAAGAGACACTGAAATTCATGGCCCAATAAACTACTTGCTTTTGTTTTTACTCGAATCTCAATGTTCACCTCAGCTCAGTTGTCTTTGGAAACACCAAGTTTCGATAAGCCATCAAAGTAGAAACAAAAATAAATGATGTGAATCATGATATACTTTGAAAAAAAAAATCAATCTTTATACATTGTGTCTAGTTACAAATTTCTGAAATTGTTTAGTGCCATTTTCAAACGAAATAAGCTTAAAGAAACTGGTCAGCGACGGCAGTTGCAATTTCATAATTTGAACTGGCGGCTATTTTTTCCTCGCGGTTTATTTTCGGTCTCGCTCGACGGACTAAGCGAAAGAGGGACTACTCTTAGTCTGGGGTAAGACCGCCTCTGGGCCAAAACCCTGCGGGGGCAATTAACCATCTCGAAGTTTATGGCCGTTTATGCTCCTTGTTTTAAGCCCGGTACTCACTTACGACGCAAGCAGAAGCATAAACATAAGAAGTTTATGCCCGAGGGGGGACATCTGCGGCATAAGCATAAGCTTTCTACCTATGTTTCTGCTTACCCTCCTTAGCCTGGTACTTTCCACACAAAGGATTTTTCGCATGAATACATGTAGAAGTATTGTTATTCAAATATCAGCGCCAATTATGCAAAGGGTCTATGCTTATGCCTTGGCCCTTGCTTATGCCAATGCTCGCGTCGCAAGTGAGGACCGGGCCTTACCGGATATATTCCCGGCATATATATTATAGAACAACTCAAAACGACACTGGGATGATAAAATCATTTGTAAAACAAATGTTGTAAAGCTGCAGAAGGAGCGTAGGTAACGGTGAGTCGTTCTTTTCTGTCTTTAAGGTGTCTCGATACAATCTTTTTCTCGACCGTACCAAGTATTCTCAATCAACTTTTTAGCAGTCTTCCCGTAATCGAATCGATATGAAAATTACAGCAGTTATTGGAAATGGACGGAAGCTTGGTATTTCGTATTTTGCAAGGCAATCGATATTTCCATGGAAACGATAAATCAAAAAAATTGAAAATCGATAAAACACGGTTTTTGCACGAACCCGTTGTGATATGAAAAAGCTAACGCCAGTGCTCTAAACTGTGGTGTATGGTAACTAGAATCTACAAGAAAAAAAATTTCCGTGTGTTTGATCTAGAGTAAATCGCAAAAACATTTCAAATAATACTTTTTGCATGTTTTGGCATCAAACAACAGCCAAAATGAACCCTATTTGAACAATAGTTTGACGGCATTGCTTTAAATAATACCAATATGAGTTTGAAGTTATAATTATTTTGAAACCGTGAAAGTTTTGATGATTTTCTTTTTCGCGATCTCAAGAACGAGAGTTTTTTTAAGGTCTCTTCTATTATAATTTTCGGGTTATTATTTTTTTTTAATTTTCAATGCTTCATCAAAAATCTTGAACGGAGAGATGTTTTTGAAACGTTGACGACTTGATAAAGGAGATAATTTTATCCCAAAGTCTCATTAACATTGATTAAAACTATTAAGAAAGGGGTGTATGAACCAACGAGAAACCTGCGTTACAAATTCACTGTTGAAAAAATATGCTAACTCGTGTAATCATTGTGTATTGCATTCCTCTGTGATGCAAAACGGAAAAAAAGCGCCGCAATGTATTTGCCACCGTTGGATTTATTTGAATGAGAGCATAATTTTTTAATGGTGAATTTGTAACGCAACTTTTTCGTTGCTTCAGGCGGCTCCTTCAGTAATAAATTTGAGAGTATTCCATTATATCAATATTAGTAAAACTTGGAATAAAACTGTTTGTATTATCATGCACGCTTTACTAACGGCCCATATAAATCTCTCGAGCAGTAATTTAGATTTCTGAAAAATCCTAAAACTAAAAAACAGTAACCAAAAAGTTATAACAGAAGCGACCTTAAGAAAAAGTCTCGTTCGTGAGATCGCGAAAAAGAAAACCAACAAAGTTTTCTTGGCTTTTAAACGTTATCCTGTCAAAACATAACTTCAAGACGCATTTTGAAACAATGCCATCAAAAATAGTGTTCAACTGTTGGTTCATTTACTGTTATGATGCAAAACGTATAATTTGAAATGTTTTTGCGATTTACTCGAGATCAAACAGACAGAATTTTTTTTTCAATTCTTGTATATTCTACTTGCAATACACCATAGTTTAATCCACTGGAATTAGCTTTCTCATATCACATCGGGTTCGCGCAATGTTGTAGCGATTTTCAATTTTTTTTTGGTTTATCGTTTCCATGGGAATATCGATTGCCTTGAGATATACATTATACCGAACTTCAATCCATTTGCAATTACTGATGTAATTTTCATCGATCCGATCATGGGAAGACTGTTTAAAAGCTGACTGAAAATGCTTGGTATGGTCCAGAAAAAACTGCATCGAGACACCTTAAACCGTTAACTTTCAAAGAATAACCTGGTAATTTGCATAAAATTGAACTCTCTTACATGCCGTAGCAGTTTATATTACTGACAGGGAACAATTTAATTTCAAGAGCTGTAGCCGCTATAACCGTAACAGCTGTAACCGAAAAACAATAATCAAGGTTTCCTAAAATGTAGATATTTTGAGCAAATGATATATACCAGAGGCCATTTGTACAAGTCAAAGTTGGCCTTTATTAATTCCTCGCCAAGAGACACAAATGGCGGCTGTACAATTACGCTTAGTTAAAAAGCTACAAACAAAACTTCAAGAAACTGTTCACAAAAATTTCAAGTATAAGAATGAAATTTGTGCCAAGCTTCCTTTTCATAGGATCCTTTTTACGTCCCGGCTGTCTTCGTAAAGAAGCATGACATTTTGAGCATTTAAGCCGCGAAAACCACCATTATAAATTATGCAAATTTCAAACTTCGCCCGTCAAATAAATCGTTGGAACTTTAAACTATTTTTCCTTGAATAAGTTGACCCAAACAAGTACGTTTTGGCGAAATAAAAAAAGATCGATTTTTCGGGATTGTTTCTCGATTCTCGACATTCTGAGAAAATCATTAATATATTCTTAAATCTGAAAATTGTTATTGTCCCTTAATTTTCTGGTAAAAAAGCCAGTTCATTCGCTGGAATGACAGTGTTGAGCAGATCACCTCATTATTTTGAGCATGGACAGAATCGAAAATAGGCGCACACGCTAATTAAACCAGATTCCGTGTGTATTGAATGTTGAAAATCTTGACGCGCTTAAGTGAGGCTGGATTTCGAGTCTTCGGCATGTCTTCGGCTGTTCTTTTGATATCAAAAACGCACATGAAATGGCTTTTCCTTTCATTAGAAGAACGCAACGTTTTAAGACTTAGAAGATACGCTATGAAGATTAGCTAGAAGCATTTAGAGTATGCAGAAACTAGAGAACGGAAGAAGGTCGAACTAGCGCACAAGTGGTTTTTGAGCGCTTTGCCGCAGTGTTAAATACATTTAAAATGCGATTTAAGTTTCCGTATTCGGCACAGGTGAAAGTTTAGCAAAAGGACACAAAGGCCTCTTTCGACAAGATCCGGTTCACACGAAACAGAATTTAAATAAGTTCGTTTGCGGTGTTAGACGCAGTTTTTTCCTTCGTTGTGGCGAGGATAAAGTTCTGCGCAAAATCGTCGTTCAGTGGAGGTTTTCGTCTTCCTGGTAGTCCAGGAAATTATAAAACCCTCCGCGAAGAATTTTTATAGGCATATAGTTGGAAGTTACGTGAGCGAGAATCCTAAAGTGGAATATTTGGAGGTAATTGAAATTATTATGTTTTTTTTTTTGAAGGATAAAGCCAGTTTTCAATCCAAACTTGGCCTCTATATAATTATGTATTTTGAGGAAGAGTATTTTGAAGTTTAAAGTTTCTTTTTTTCCATAATGGGTCGTGTTTCTATACCATTTTATAAAATTTTACTGAAAAGTAAGCAAAATTTATCGCAGCATTGATGCGGCGGATTAACCTGTAATTTCTGGCGTCGAAATAAGCCATATTTGTACGAAAGCATCGATCGTTAAACAGTAAAAAGAATATCGCAAGTGTTTGAAGAAGGAATTTCATTACTATTACTGCCTAATACTTTTGCAATTCTTCGCAATTAGAAAAGAACGGCTTTCTTCTTTTTCATTCTATAGCATTCTGTTTCCAAAACACTGTGAAGAACTACAAAGTGTCTTGGCAACCAACGTTTTGACAAACAAGACCCCGATTGCCTATTTACCAGTTTGTGGTTCCGTGGGAACAAAAACAAGCGAGTGAATTTGGAGGGAAGAACAGCTTCGACGAAACTCCAGCATCCAATCGAAATCGAGTGAAAAATCAAGAAAACAAAATATAGCGGCGATGTCGGCCGCAAACCTCTCGAACATAAACGAAGGTCACTGTTCCTGGCCGTTGCACCCCGGTAAGACATCATGCTTCGCACCGAACAGCTTGCATCTTCCACTGTTGGTTGTGGTTGTGATCCTAAACTGCACTCTTTCCATGGTCTCCGTGACGGGAAACGCTCTGTGGATAGCAGCCTATACCAAAACGCCAACCCTTCAGACGCCGTTGAACATGTGCCTTCTGAGTTTAGCGTCTGTTGGCCTCTTCAACGGCGCAGTGATGCAACCTTTGATAATATCAGACGCCATCTATTTCCTAGCTTGTCCTTTGAAGACTTGCTCTTTGGAGCACATCGTCACTGGAATAATAACTTTGGTGGCTGACAGCACCCTCCAAAACATTGCCGTCATCTGTATTGACCGTTACATAGCAATTCTCCACAGCGCTAAGTACTGCCAGTTAGTTTCCAAAAAGAGAATCGTAATCGCTTTTTGCACCTACGCACTCTTTCGTCTGTTTTTAAGTATCTGCGTTTTCACTGGAATCCTCGATTATACTGCTCTGGTTATCTCATCAATAGTTCTTAGCATTGTGATTGTCTGTTTTACTTGTATACGGATTTTTCTTCAGATTCGTCGCCTCGGAAGCGTTTCAGTCGGACCAGTGAACCCGGAGGAAGAAAGAAGGAAAGCTCAGGAGCGAAAAATCACCAAAACTATCGGTGTTATCATTGCAATTTCGGCTCTGTGTTACGGCCCTGCTCTAGGATATTTCTTCGCCAGTAAATTAACTGTCAGAAGCGAAGGCCTACATGTCATACTCTGGCGTTTTATTGNAGCGAAAGAGGGACTACTCTTAGTCTGGGGTAAGACCGCCTCTGGGCCAAAACCCTGCGGGGGCAATTAACCATCTCGAAGTTTATGGCCGTTTATGCTCCTTGTTTTAAGCCCGGTACTCACTTACGACGCAAGCAGAAGCATAAACATAAGAAGTTTATGCCCGAGGGGGGACATCTGCGGCATAAGCATAAGCTTTCTACCTATGTTTCTGCTTACCCTCCTTAGCCTGGTACTTTCCACACAAAGGATTTTTCGCATGAATACATGTAGAAGTATTGTTATTCAAATATCAGCGCCAATTATGCAAAGGGTCTATGCTTATGCCTTGGCCCTTGCTTATGCCAATGCTCGCGTCGCAAGTGAGGACCGGGCCTTACCGGATATATTCCCGGCATATATATTATAGAACAACTCAAAACGACACTGGGATGATAAAATCATTTGTAAAACAAATGTTGTAAAGCTGCAGAAGGAGCGTAGGTAACGGTGAGTCGTTCTTTTCTGTCTTTAAGGTGTCTCGATACAATCTTTTTCTCGACCGTACCAAGTATTCTCAATCAACTTTTTAGCAGTCTTCCCGTAATCGAATCGATATGAAAATTACAGCAGTTATTGGAAATGGACGGAAGCTTGGTATTTCGTATTTTGCAAGGCAATCGATATTTCCATGGAAACGATAAATCAAAAAAATTGAAAATCGATAAAACACGGTTTTTGCACGAACCCGTTGTGATATGAAAAAGCTAACGCCAGTGCTCTAAACTGTGGTGTATGGTAACTAGAATCTACAAGAAAAAAAATTTCCGTGTGTTTGATCTAGAGTAAATCGCAAAAACATTTCAAATAATACTTTTTGCATGTTTTGGCATCAAACAACAGCCAAAATGAACCCTATTTGAACAATAGTTTGACGGCATTGCTTTAAATAATACCAATATGAGTTTGAAGTTATAATTATTTTGAAACCGTGAAAGTTTTGATGATTTTCTTTTTCGCGATCTCAAGAACGAGAGTTTTTTTAAGGTCTCTTCTATTATAATTTTCGGGTTATTATTTTTTTTTAATTTTCAATGCTTCATCAAAAATCTTGAACGGAGAGATGTTTTTGAAACGTTGACGACTTGATAAAGGAGATAATTTTATCCCAAAGTCTCATTAACATTGATTAAAACTATTAAGAAAGGGGTGTATGAACCAACGAGAAACCTGCGTTACAAATTCACTGTTGAAAAAATATGCTAACTCGTGTAATCATTGTGTATTGCATTCCTCTGTGATGCAAAACGGAAAAAAAGCGCCGCAATGTATTTGCCACCGTTGGATTTATTTGAATGAGAGCATAATTTTTTAATGGTGAATTTGTAACGCAACTTTTTCGTTGCTTCAGGCGGCTCCTTCAGAAATAAATTTGAGAGTATTCCATTATATCAATATTAGTAAAACTTGGAATAAAACTGTTTGTATTATCCTGCACGCTTTACTAACGGCCCATATAAATCTCTCGAGCAGTAATTTAGATTTCTGAAAAATCCTAAAACTAAAAAACAGTAACCAAAAAGTTATAACAGAAGCGACCTTAAGAAAAAGTCTCGTTCGTGAGATCGCGAAAAAGAAAACCAACAAAGTTTTCTTGGCTTTTAAACGTTATTCTGTCAAAACATAACTTCAAGACGCATTTTGAAACAATGCCATCAAAAATAGTGTTCAACTGTTGGTTCATTTACTGTTATGATGCAAAACGTATAATTTGAAATGTTTTTGCGATTTACTCGAGATCAAACAGACAGAATTTTTTTTCAATTCTTGTATATTCTACTTGCAATACACCATAGTTTAATCCACTGGAATTAGCTTTCTCATATCACATCGGGTTCGCGCAATGTTGTAGCGATTTTCAATTTTTTTTTGGTTTATCGTTTCCATGGAAATATCGATTGCCTTGAGATATACATTATACCGAACTTCAATCCATTTGCAATTACTGATGTAATTTTCATATCGATCCGATCATGGGAAGACTGTTTAAAAGCTGACTGAAAATGCTTGGTATGGTCCAGAAAAAACTGCATCGAGACACCTTAAACCGTTAACTTTCAAAGAATAACCTGGTAATTTGCATAAAATTGAACTCTCTTACATGCCGTAGCAGTTTATATTACTGACAGGAAACAATTTAATTTCAAGAGCTGTAGCCGCTATAACCGTAACAGCTGTAACCGAAAAACAATAATCAAGGTTTCCTAAAATGTAGATATTTTGAGCAAATGATATATACCAGAGGCCATTTGTACAAGTCAAAGTTGGCCTTTATTAATTCCTCGCCAAGAGACACAAATGGCGGCTGTACAATTACGCTTAGTTAAAAAGCTACAAACAAAACTTCAAGAAACTGTTCACAAAAATTTCAAGTATAAGAATGAAATTTGTGCCAAGCTTCCTTTTCATAGGATCCTTTTTACGTCCCGGCTGTCTTCGTAAAGAAGCATGACATTTTGAGCATTTAAGCCGCGAAAACCACCATTATAAATTATGCAAATTTCAAACTTCGCCCGTCAAATAAATCGTTGGAACTTTAAACTATTTTTCCTTGAATAAGTTGACCCAAACAAGTACGTTTTGGCGAAATAAAAAAAGATCGATTTTTCGGGATTGTTTCTCGATTCTCGACATTCTGAGAAAATCATTAATATATTCTTAAATCTGAAAATTGTTATTGTCCCTTAATTTTCTGGTAAAAAAGCCAGTTCATTCGCTGGAATGACAGTGTTGAGCAGATCACCTCATTATTTTGAGCATGGACAGAATCGAAAATAGGCGCACACGCTAATTAAACCAGATTCCGTGTGTATTGAATGTTGAAAATCTTGACGCGCTTAAGTGAGGCTGGATTTCGAGTCTTCGGCATGTCTTCGGCTGTTCTTTTGATATCAAAAACGCACATGAAATGGCTTTTCCTTTCATTAGAAGAACGCAACGTTTTAAGACTTAGAAGATACGCTATGAAGATTAGCTAGAAGCATTTAGAGTATGCAGAAACTAGAGAACGGAAGAAGGTCGAACTAGCGCACAAGTGGTTTTTGAGCGCTTTGCCGCAGTGTTAAATACATTTAAAATGCGATTTAAGTTTCCGTATTCGGCACAGGTGAAAGTTTAGCAAAAGGACACAAAGGCCTCTTTCGACAAGATCCGGTTCACACGAAACAGAATTTAAATAAGTTCGTTTGCGGTGTTAGACGCAGTTTTTTCCTTCGTTGTGGCGAGGATAAAGTTCTGCGCAAAATCGTCGTTCAGTGGAGGTTTTCGTCTTCCTGGTAGTCCAGGAAATTATAAAACCCTCCGCGAAGAATTTTTATAGGCATATAGTTGGAAGTTACGTGAGCGAGAATCCTAAAGTGGAATATTTGGAGGTAATTGAAATTATTATGTTTTTTTTTTTGAAGGATAAAGCCAGTTTTCAATCCAAACTTGGCCTCTATATAATTATGTATTTTGAGGAAGAGTATTTTGAAGTTTAAAGTTTCTTTTTTTCCATAATGGGTCGTGTTTCTATACCATTTTATAAAATTTTACTGAAAAGTAAGCAAAATTTATCGCAGCATTGATGCGGCGGATTAACCTGTAATTTCTGGCGTCGAAATAAGCCATATTTGTACGAAAGCATCGATCGTTAAACAGTAAAAAGAATATCGCAAGTGTTTGAAGAAGGAATTTCATTACTATTACTGCCTAATACTTTTGCAATTCTTCGCAATTAGAAAAGAACGGCTTTCTTCTTTTTCATTCTATAGCATTCTGTTTCCAAAACACTGTGAAGAACTACAAAGTGTCTTGGCAACCAACGTTTTGACAAACAAGACCCCGATTGCCTATTTACCAGTTTGTGGTTCCGTGGGAACAAAAACAAGCGAGTGAATTTGGAGGGAAGAACAGCTTCGACGAAACTCCAGCATCCAATCGAAATCGAGTGAAAAATCAAGAAAACAAAATATAGCGGCGATGTCGGCCGCAAACCTCTCGAACATAAACGAAGGTCACTGTTCCTGGCCGTTGCACCCCGGTAAGACATCATGCTTCGCACCGAACAGCTTGCATCTTCCACTGTTGGTTGTGGTTGTGATCCTAAACTGCACTCTTTCCATGGTCTCCGTGACGGGAAACGCTCTGTGGATAGCAGCCTATACCAAAACGCCAACCCTTCAGACGCCGTTGAACATGTGCCTTCTGAGTTTAGCGTCTGTTGGCCTCTTCAACGGCGCAGTGATGCAACCTTTGATAATATCAGACGCCATCTATTTCCTAGCTTGTCCTTTGAAGACTTGCTCTTTGGAGCACATCGTCACTGGAATAATAACTTTGGTGGCTGACAGCACCCTCCAAAACATTGCCGTCATCTGTATTGACCGTTACATAGCAATTCTCCACAGCGCTAAGTACTGCCAGTTAGTTTCCAAAAAGAGAATCGTAATCGCTTTTTGCACCTACGCACTCTTTCGTCTGTTTTTAAGTATCTGCGTTTTCACTGGAATCCTCGATTATACTGCTCTGGTTATCTCATCAATAGTTCTTAGCATTGTGATTGTCTGTTTTACTTGTATACGGATTTTTCTTCAGATTCGTCGCCTCGGAAGCGTTTCAGTCGGACCAGTGAACCCGGAGGAAGAAAGAAGGAAAGCTCAGGAGCGAAAAATCACCAAAACTATCGGTGTTATCATTGCAATTTCGGCTCTGTGTTACGGCCCTGCTCTAGGATATTTCTTCGCCAGTAAATTAACTGTCAGAAGCGAAGGCCTACATGTCATACTCTGGCGTTTTATTGAAACTGTGATGATGCTGAACTCTGTACTTTATTTCACAATCTATTTTGCTCGACACAGAGAGAAGCGAGCTGCAGTGCGCAAAGCTGTAAACGATGCTTACAACGCAATTAAAAATTGTAGGTGTCTTTAAGAAATTAGAAGATCAAACTGCAAAACAAACATGTAATTAGCAATAAAGTTAACTGTTTACTAACACCACGAGTTTATCACTTGCACGTATTTTACAACTGGTCGGGTTTTTAAGCTCCTGAGGGAAGATATGTATTTTATTTCCCTGCGTGCAAAATCATGAGAACCAAGTTTCCTGGTAAATATGGTTTGGCGCTGCGATAAGTATCTGTTTGAAAATTCGTTAAGTACTCAACTTAAAATGTTCTTAAAGTAAACAAAAGGATTGATTCAAAGTTTGCACATCATCGCTGAAACATAATTTCAGTTTATTTAGGCATTAGACTGATTTTAAATATATGAGTAAATTATCTGCACGTAAATTTGCGGATTCGTCGGTTAACTATTAAATTCTCCGGTTCGCGATCGATGAAACACAACAGCAGTGGTCTTTTTCGAGGAGATTTTCCACGTTCGCTGACTTGTTAGCAGCAGAACTTCCCCAAATGCCCAAATTAAACAATAGTTCGAAAATAGCCACATGATTTTGAAAGATATCATTGTGTGATTGCGACAGACTGCTTAAAAGGAAACATTTCCTCTTCAAATGGGGTTCGAAAGTATGTTTGTCTTTGCGAACGCCAACGCAATGTATTAGCGTCTGAGACAAATTTATTCACTACTGGAGAGATTTATCGAGTCCGATGTCTAAAGATTTACAACAAAATTAATCAAGCAGATAATCGAAAGTAATACAACATATGTATTATTAAATGCATATAATACATCGATGAAGGAAAGAAAAAGAGAATTCATTTCCGCTTCTCATTTTCTTTATGTCTTTATACTGAATTGAAAAACCTTTGAAAAAACCTCGACTCGTCGCCTAGACGTGCTTCCCAAAAGAGACAAACAAAACAAAACAAAACAAGAGTAAAAAAAAATGTGAAATTGCTCAACCTGGTTACAAAGATATCAGGAATGAAGAGTGGAGAAAATGTATTTTAACAGCGGTAAATAAATTTGTTATTTACTGAAAAGTCAGTGTAGCGGGCCTTGGTCAGTACGACTGGTTCGCTTGCCGTATACAATAATTGTAATTAGACGCTTTGGAAAATATCGCGCTACCGTGTTTCTATTAATTAGAGTAAATTGTATACCTATGTTGGAAGGTGTAAACACGTACAATTTTATTAATATATGTTAATAGTCAAAAAGAGTTGTAAAAAGCAAATAAAAGCTTAGAATTTGAATAGCACGGATTAATTAAATAGCAAATAAATTCTCTACATGGTGGGCATTAGCACAAATATGATAATTTTCTTTCCCCAATTTTGCATTTTTATGAATTGAAAAAGTTGAATTTGGTTGGTAGAAGAAAACTAAGAGAAAACCACAATTTTTATAATTATTTTCACAAGGGTATGCGCATGTGATTTCTCCTTACAAGATCAGAACATCCTCAAATTGATCGGTAAAGAGAATAAAGAACATAATCAACTTACTGACGGATATTATCTTTATGTACGTAACCACTAACTCCTCAAAACTAAATTAGTGGAAATGTATGATATTCAGTAAGGAGAATTCACATTTAGAGTATGGACCGAATTAATACCATCTGCTAGAAATTTTGCAACAGCTGTTGGGTTAAAAAGCGATTTAAAACAAAGATATAGACTGCCACTAGGCTCTGTCTTTTCCTGGCGTGGGATGAAATGCCCGAATGCAAAGCTTCTTTCCGTAATTTGCATCATTTTAACTTATCCAGTGGATCGTAGAGGATTTCAGAAACAAAAACCAACTGCTCGTAGTCAGCAAATTGATAACGGTCAATTTTATTCTCAAGGTTTTTATTTTAAATTCTCATCAATCATTTTTGCAGATCGTTGTGAAGTAAACCTAACCAAGGAAAGATATTGATTCAGGAATTTACTTTTTACATATAATAATTTGCTCCCTTTTTAATAAAACAGCAAAATTAAAGGATTATCCGAAAATTTATTTTCAAACTCAAAATTAATTTACTTGTATTTTTGCACCTGTTGTGAGCAAAACCATCGCGCATGCCCAGAAATCGAGCGTAGAGAAACATGTTTTGATAAGTTATATAAGCTGAGGTAAGCGCGTGCGAAACAGTACCTCTGAAATTTACGTGAAAGTATAAAGGCAAGTGGTTGTGTAGCTATCAGCAATCCGCGCAAGGGAAGCNTTTTAACAGCGGTAAATAAATTTGTTATTTACTGAAAAGTCAGTGTAGCGGGCCTTGGTCAGTACGACTGGTTCGCTTGCCGTATACAATAATTTTAATTAGACGCTTTGGAAAATATCGCGCTACCGTGTTTTTATTAATTAGAGTAAATTGTATACCTATGTTGGAAGGTGTAAACACGTACAATTTTATTAATATATGCTAATAGCCAAAAAGAGTTATAAAAAGCAAATAAAAGCTTAGAATTTGAATAGCACGGATTAATTAAATAGCAAATAAATTCTCTACAGGATGGGCATTAGCACAAATATGATAATTTTCTTTCCCCAATTTTGCATTATTATTAATTGAAAAAGTTGAATTTGGTTGGTAGAAGAAAACTAAGAGAAAACCAGAATTTTTATAATTATTTTCACAAGGGTATGCGCATGTACTTTCTCCTTAAGAGATCAGAACATCCTCAAATTGATCGGTAAAGAGAACAAAGAACATAATCAACTTACTAACGGATATTATCTTTATGTACCACTAACTCCTCAAAACTACATTAGTGGAAATGTATGATATTCAGTAAGGAGAATTTACATTTAGAGTATGACCGAATTAATACCATCTGCTAGAAATTTTGCAACAGCTGTTGGGTTAAAAAGCGATTTAAATCAAAGATATAGACTGCTACTAGGCTCTGTCTTTTCCTGGCGTGGGATGAAATGCCCGAATGCAAAGCTTCTTTCCGTAAATTGCATCATTTTAGCTCATCCAAAAACCGACTGCTCGTAGTCAGCAAATTGATAACGGTCAATTTTATTCTCAAGGTTTTTATTTTAAGTTCTCATCAATCCTTTTTGCAGATCGGTGTGAGGTAAACCTAACCATGGAAAGATATTGATTCAGGAATTTACTTTTTACATATAATGATTTGCTCCCTTTTTAATAAAACAGCAAAATTAAAGGATTATTCGAAAATTTATATTCAAACTCAAAATTAATTTACTTGTATTTTTGCACCTGTTGTGAGCAAAACGATCGCGCATGCCCAGAAATCGAAGCGTAGAGAAACATGTTTTGATAAGTTATATAAGCTGAGGTAAGCGCGTGCAAAAAGTGCCTCTGAAATTTACGTGAAAGTATAAAGGCAAGTGGTTGTGTAGCTATCAGCAATCCGCGCAAGGGAAGCTAGAAACAGTTTTTCAGTTGAAGTCAGGCTCAGTCAGAAGCTAATTGAGCTGCTCGGATGCTTAGATGTTGCTTACATGAAGCATTTTCGCTTTACGCGCACTTCCACTGGCAGACTCAGTGTTTTAACTACGGGTTCAGTTCTTTTTATGGTAACTACAGAAAAGACAACGTCAGAAAGAATATGATAGCGACTAATTCGCCGTCATTTTAGGCCCTGTCCACATTACCCCGGAGGCATTTGAAAACAGAGGTTTCACTCTGAAAACGCCCACTTGCTTTAAGCCGGGGAAATTTAAAATTGCAACAATCACCGGTCATTTTGGATTTGTGTTCGAGGACATCCCGAGCAGGGAAATCACGTGATTGTCGTGACGCCATCGTTGCCGAAAAGATCCGTTTTCAAAATGTCTTCCGTCCTCACGAAAACGAAAAGCCGGCGTTTTCAGATTCCGCCAGTTTGCTCCGCTTTCTTGAAGGAATATTGCGGACGGAAGGCGTAAAGCTGGGTTTTGGTGTAGTGTGGACGAAGCCTAAAGTTTTGCCAAAGTACTGAAAGAATCTTTTTGATTTCTATTTAAACTTGGCCAATAGATGTGTCTCATCCTACCTGCTTGTACTTTAAGGGTTTATTTTTGAATAATCAAGCCCGTAAAGCTATAATGAAGCTTAGGGTGTTTTTAGCAGGTCATACTGTTGCTATGGTAACGTATTGTGTCACGAAAATTATAACAACGGGTTCACGTTTGATTGGGCAGGTTTTTGATATCATGATTGTAGTATCAACTGATAGATGGTAGTTAAAATGACCCGTCAAAAGTCTTGGAGAGTGCTGGAAACTGTCTTGAGCCACCTTAAAGTCCGTTAAAGGACGTTGCTTTTGCTTTCCTTGAAAAAAGCGCAGAGCTCGAGTTTGATGTTAACAGCCATTAAAGCACTGGTAGTTAAATCCATTAGTCTAAAATCATTGCCTATTCTGGTTTAAAAACTCGGTACTTAAAACGTTTGTTTTGTTTTTTTTTTTAAGTCTTAAAAGACTTTTTTTTGGAAAAAACCTAGGTGTATGAAGATGTTTTAAAAACAATGCGTTTTAAACTTTCTTTCAGCTAAGGAGCATTAAAACTAAAAATAAAGGAGTGTAAAATAAGTTTTCAGTAAAACCGAAGGCAGCAGTGAACAAAACCAGCTGGGTTTTTAAAATAGCCTCATTGCGCTGGATTCGAGAAGCCTTTTAATTAAGGCTTCTCAAACATGGATATACAATGGTACAATTTAGATGCGATATCAACTACTTATTAACCGAGAGTGAGGTCTTTACGGGATTTCAAATCAAGATCGTTCTGTGTTATATGGCAAAGTCGAGGTTTGAGATTTTCCCGTAAAGACCGAATGTTTCAGGTTAATAAGTTGTTTATCATATAGCTTTTTGCTCTCTCTTTGCAGGCTCGTGGGCATTACGGGAGAATAATGACCCACAGTTAGCCAATCAAAGAACGCGTTAGATCGGCTACAAACACAATCCATCTAATAAAGATGCATAATTCGATATTGCCGTATGAATATATAACACGAGGCAATTTAGAAGAGGCACATAAACATTTGTAAGTGGACTTAAAATTTAGCATTATCAGGTCTGATCTATAACCATGTGCCTATAAAAGATTTTGTTGACTCATATCAATGAGAATTACAAAAGGCCATTTATTATCTTTAAAATTATTTGCCAATAGTTAGAAAGCACCATTGAACTATGCCGATTTTAATATAGAGGTATAAGGTTGTACGCTAGAGGTGTTTTTACATATAGTGATAATGATAGAAATAAGAGCTTCTAATTAAAACAGTCATTGTTCGTGAGAAACTAAGATAGAAATAAACGGTCCAATTTTGTAATCTGAATAGCCTACATGTGTCCACGCATTGAGCAAAAATAATAAAAAAAACAGACATTATATTATGGCAGACAAAATGTAATTTATGACGAGGCATGGTGCTCACATGATAACTCGCTAGGTCAGGCTGAACCAGGTGCTGCAAATCTAGCCAATGAGGTTATAGGGCGGTGTCAGGGTTAACTAAGTATATTGAGGTATTTTCCTAGTAATTCTTCCTTCTCTCCCTTGTCATCAACTCGGTCAGATCTCGAGCAAAATCTTTCCCTCCTCCTCCCCTTTCACCTGCCTGCGGATTATTATCATTTATAATGGTATTTCATATTTCTTCTTTGAGTCGTGTACTAAGTGGCGGATTTTTGTCGCCCCAATTTTTTATTCAGTAGGTTAATCGGTTTAGTATATTGATGTGTTATGATTCTGTTAACTTTGATCTCATTTAACCTGGCACAACCGTGGCCAGATTTATCCAACACAGTTGTTTGTTTATATTTTAAATCTGTTCCTTATCAGAAAGTACGTAACCGGAAATGCAAGCGGAGCTCGCGCAGTGTTGGGCCTTGTTTTGAACACATGCCTTGATATAAAGTATTTTTTTTATAAAATTCTTCTGAACTTTCTTCTGCAGAGTGAAAAACATATCAAGTCACTCGCAAGAATTATTTGTGCACAAATTATAGTTCAAAGCATGTATTATTAAAGAGTGCACCATTCATTTACAGCCATAGTAAGAGTTTATTAGCTACAACATTATTTTCTCTACTATACATTCCGTAATAAATCTTGCATTACATTTTCACAAGTGTTATCTCTGTGCAACTCACTTTACTGGCCAAAACAAAAGTGAGAAGAATAGATGAAAAATATGTTTGTCATTTTTCCATATTTGCTTGTGCAAAAGAAAAACCTAAAATATTTAAGGTGGCTACAGATTCCCTGTGGAGAATTTTGCAAAAAAATATTATTCTAAAAGGTGACCATTTTGTCTATTAAAAAAGTGGTTCACGAACCTTTTATAGCTCAAACTATAAGCACTAGACGTTAAAAGTGTTCTTGACAATTTATGCTCTTTCCAAACATCAGCTCTTTTGTGAAGAAAATATTCCGGTCGCTAATGATCGTGGATTGTCTTAAAATCGACAGTATTAACATTTTAATGTCAGCTGTTTTAAGGTGAAACTATCAATGCATAAATTGTTAATTGAACAATAAGTCAGAAAACAGGTGGGCTGTTTGTGCGAAGAAACTCACAGTTTCAATCGAATTGAAGGCGCGAAGACGACTGCAACAAGAAAAACTTCGAGCAGTTTTCATGATGTATCCAGAACTGGCAGAACGACCTCTTGCTCTGAACATTCTTGAGCCAGCGATCCTGTTAGTCATGGCCATTTTTTGTTCAATCGGGAATATTTTGATCTGCGTTGCTGTTTATAGAAACCCACGACTTCGCACATCTACTAACCTTTTTGTTATCGCGTTGGCAATCAGCGATCTTCTCAACTCATCAATCGTTATGTCGCTAGCTGTTGGTGTTTTAATCACTGGGAAGTGGCCTTATGGTGACATTATGTGCAACGTGCATGCCTTTTTCACCCTATTCTCCGTTTACGTCTCGCCGACAACCATGGGCCTGGCTGCCTTCAACAGGTACATTCGAATCGTGAAGTCCAACAGATATCGACGCATGTTTACACCTTTCCTTTCCATAGTGTACATCGGTGCAGTGTGGTTATTCGTCGCTGGGTACGTTTCCATTCCCAAACTAGCTGGCTTGATAAAATACGGGTTTATACCTGGGTATGCTGTGTGCACCATCATCCATCCCACAGATGCAGTCAAAATAGCGCACTACAGTATCGTGGTGTCCCTGTTCCTTATTCTTCCATTCAGCGTCGCAACCGTGTCTTATTACAAAGTGTTTAAGACCATCAACCACCATAACTTCAACATGGCTTCAACCGTTCAAAATGTTCAACATGAAGGTCGAATAACTGTCAGGGAAATAAAAATCACTAAGTCTCTCGCGATTATCGTGCTAGCCTTTGGACTGTGTTGGATTCCATTTTGGGTCATCGCCGTGATGCAGCGATTTACATTAAGTGTGGTGCCCCGAAATGTCCAGCTTCTGTGCACGTTTCTGCTGTTCTTTTCCAGTACAGTTAATCCCTTCATATATGCTGGCACGAATGAGGCGTTTAGGGCAGAATTTCGCCGCGTTTTGTTATGCAAAAACAATGAAAGAATCAATCCTCTATCAAACATGCCGCGTACGGGGTGAAAACAGCATACGTTTGATACGAATCGAGCCTCCAAAGTGGGTCATTGATTGAAGGCTATCACGAACTGAACTGAATAAGAAAGGTGATACTTGTTGAAAGAAATTTGAGAAAACTAGCTGCTTCTATCCACGAAGTTCGGCAAAAACGAGGGATACGATTCATTTGTGTAAATAGTGTGTCAAAGACTGTGTATTATTATGTTAAAGCACGACATTTTACCAATGAATAGCCTTTGATATAAAGGCTCTCCAAATAGGGTAATTAACATTGGTTCAGCTTTGCTTTACAAAAATTACGTTTCTGAAAGAAGCAGTTTTTATTGAGCTTTCTGAAAACTTTTTTCGTGTTAGGTACGAGCTAGGTATTGTTAAATACCTTTTAATTTCCTTGATTATTATTATTA